AGCAAGGGTTTCAGTGTGTGCAGCTACCCTGTCGTCCGGACCATTTGATCCGCTTGATTTACTTCACTATTGGCCAAATCGGTGAACTGACCAATAGCGAAGTGGAAAAAGTGGATTGGCGGGCATTCGCTTCGCTACCGATCAGTTCACGTGGGTCAAGTGGATCAACTATGGTGTGTGCCTACGTCAATCATTATGTCATGTACTGTCTGTGCTCCGCTAGAGTTTTATTTGATAAATAGTGCTTTCCATGTTCTCTGTCACTTAGCAGAATAGATAACTATTTTATTGGTATAAACATAACCTAGACTATCTATACTACTGCAGCTTATTAGTATCAGATAACAAATAACAACTAAAGCATCAACAACTACAAAATAACAACATATGACCTGATGGCATGATAAATGCTAGCGAAGCGAAAGAACTCTAAATCTATAATCTATGTAATATGACATGATACTCTGAGCAAAAAGAATCTGAGTTGGTGAGAAGAAATCAATAGAATGATAACCTAAGTCGGCTATTGTATAGCAAGAAACCGTAAGATTCTTTCACGAATCTCTTCGCTCTTCGTCACTTCCAGATGAGTGGAGTCACTTGAGAGTATATCCTTATAGCGCAGTAATCGAATACAATTGCGAAATGAATCCGAATTTACTGCTTCCACTGAATAGTAATGTTTGATAAACTCAATCAACAGACTACAACACATACATATCAATCCATAAAATCGAATCCTACATTGTAGAAAGAAAAGATTTGAGACTCACAAAGAAGAGGGAATGGTAGGAGTGTCGGATTGATGATGCAGCTCTGACACCATTGTTTGACTGTCTTGGACTCTGAAATGTGTTCACGAGATGGTAAGAAAAGAAATGAATCCTCTCAAGGCTGGTGCTTACCCTCAGCAACAGAATCACCGGCAAGCAGCCTAGTAATGACGATGTAGAGCGACTGCAAGAATGGACGCAGAAAGTTAGAATAGAATAATAAGAGCTCATGGCACATTGCATCACGGATCTGTAAAATACAATCAGTCAATTTTCAAACTTTACCGGTTCCGTTTGCAACTATTATAATATTAAGTTGGAACATAAGTCTTG